TTTCCGAGCAAACATGTTCGACACTGTACTCCTCCCCAAAACACCAAGACCAAGCAGACAGCTTGCATTTCAACAAGTCCGTACTCAGCAGCTTTAGATACATGTGTATATATACATATATGTGTGTATTCATGTTCACGTATACAGCTATACATTTACACATATATGTACATGTATACATATATACATATGTATATATATATACACATAAAAGCATAAGCATACATCTACACACACACATATATATATATGTATATGTATATGTATAGATACCCTGCCACTCCCGGCCAATGAGCGACTGCTCGCAGATACCTCATCACATCCTATCACATCCCCCCATTTGCGGCTAAAGTTTATAGTGAGCTAGTTCGGTATTCTGCTAGTGTGAGGGCGTGACGTTTGTGCGGTGGATGCGAATTCAGCATCAGGGCATCTGTGCGCATAGCTTCGCAGGCTGAGGCAATGAAACAAAACATGAACAAACAATTGTTGCGTTCTTCGGCACGTCCTACAACATCATGACGGCAGCGTCTCGCTGACTTGGTAGGAAGGTTTGCCTTTGAGGAAAAAAAGTGTCGTGATTACTATACAACTGCGGCGGTTGCCGCTACTGATCGGCACCATAACTCCTTGTACCGTCATTTCCAAGATCAGAAACATCTTCGTTGCTCCTCTGTTGACCATGTTCCACCATGAAGACTATCGAACTATCGCAAGATAGGAAATACTCGTGCATTATCGTCTTGCAGCGACAAGCTTCTCCTTTGTGGCATCATGGGGGTATTGGATTTACTGCCCGCCTATACTGTCGCCATTTTGGCCATGCTAGTGTACTTACTCGTTAACCTGGAATTCTTGCGAATGTGACCATTGCGTTTCCAAAGCTCGGCTATCTGTTTTCAGAAACTGCCAAACAAGACCAGGATTTCCGGCAGCGTGTAGAATGGGCCGGTGAGGCTTATGCGCGTGGTTTTGAACACGACGTCTATGATGGGTCGGCATGCGTGCGCATTGGAGTAAACGAGACGACAACAAAACGGAGATGTGGAGAGGCATACCCCCGACCACAAGAAGGCAACTGGAGGATCGAGCTCCGCTCCACGCACAACTTGGCATTCAGTTCCGAGGCGATTCACGGAAAAACGGTGACTAGCAAACTAAAATGATTTCTGAATTGGAAGACTGATGCGACAACATGCTCTGTACAGTATCTGGTGGGTTTCTGGCGTCTTGTGACTTATAGAACTTCCCTCCGGCACTGGCCTTCTTGCGCCACGAAGAGCTGCACGTGCTCCGGGGTGTACCCATCCTCACGAGTCGACAGTCTGTACTCCTTGCTTACCTCGACCTCGCCTTTTCTGCAAGCATTGTCTCTCCTCTTATGTGGCAGTGTCTCTCGTTCTCTCGGTGTCTCGTCTGTCAGCCTTCTCTCCGTTCACCGGTGCATCCGAGCCCCAGCTTTTTCTTTCCACTCCACCGAAAATAACTGACATCTTTGCTCCAAGCTGAAGTCTGCCCGAGCAAGGCCATGACGGCAGTCTGCGGCATGCTCTCAGAACTGGCCCAGAACCTACCGAGGTGGCCAAGGCTCCGCTCGACCGTTCCTTGGGAGTTCCACCTGCACCGGCGTAGAAAACATGCGTTAGACAGCTCTTCGTCTCGAAACATGCCGTACGAAGAGAGGCATCCTTGGAACGATTCGAAAGCCTGTGCCACCTGTGGTCCACGTGCCCCGAAGTCCCAAACTCTAGCATCCCTAACCCGTGCCTGGAGCTGAGCCAGGGCTCTACCAGGCGGTGCAATCACCTCAATCCACGGAGTGGCGCCCAGCACCTGAAACCAAAGCTTGTTTGCTTGGCTTACGAGTGGAGGTTGCGAGTCATTCTCCACAACCATGGCCCTTGTCTGATCTCAGCAGCTCTATACCTTCCTCAACAAGCCTCGTCAGACTGCCAGAAAGGCAATGGCGGCGGCCAGTTGCCTGCGCGACCTCCTCCTGGCAGTCAGCCATGACAAAGCCTCCTTCGCCACTCCCTGACATGTCAGCCATGTGCAGCCAGTCCTTTCCGCCCGGGGCCGGGGGTGCTGTGGTGTGGCCGAAGAGCTTCCGGGTTGCCCGACGAGGCCTGCGCGTCACTTGCTACAAACATGTAAGAGCATATCATATAATGCAATGTAGTGCAATAGAATACAATGTGGCATAACCTAAGTTAATATCACATAGTATAACATAGTATAATATTAAAGAAGCAGGCTTCTGACGCCTAACATAACATGATCATAATCCAGGTTAATAGAACATAGTAAAGTACACTATACTATACTATGCTATACCATTCTGTGGTACTAACTAAACTATGTCGGTATACGAAACTGTACTGTACCATACTACACACGGTGTATGACACACGATATACCAGTATACTATGCCTCAATGTGATGTAATATATAGCAAGCAGTGAAAGGAATGGTATAGTATATATCTATATAACAACATATAGCAGTACAATATCATAATAAAATAGTAAAACCTCGTACATGTAACAAGTAACACGATAAATCGTAATGTGGTGCAACATTTCATACTTTATTACGATAGAATGTAATACAAGCCTTGTAACCTAAAGGGGTATGATAGAACAAGCATGATACATACACTATAACATAGACATATGAACTCGGATAGAATGCACTATTCGCGAAGACTGTTGTATGTTGAAACATGCCACATAACAATAAAAGACCGAAGACCCAATGAACTATGCTGCCACATGATACAATATGACATATTCTGCCGCAGCATGAAGTAAAACCTGGTCGAATATAACGTGACGGGTGGCATACAATGAGTTGTGGAAAAACCTCTGATGTGAAATGTGATGTTCTAGTGCAGTATACCGTAGTATCATAGAACTCTAGTATGCAGTGAAACATGGTATACCATGGTCATATGTTGCAATGATTTTGTTTTATCAGCTTATGTCATATCATACTGTACGATATTACAGCATGTTACATCATGTCCAAACCGTAACCTATTGTATTATACCATGATGCTTCTTCGTTATGTTCTGCTATAGTTGATAAAACTTTATGGAATTGTATAATACATAGCCCAAGATTAGAGTATGCTCTTACTTCATATCATGTGTTTCGGTATCCTACTATGTCATGTTGTGATATGTTGTCGTATTCTATGTTAACGGTACGTTTTGTTCTGTTGTACTCTCATGAAGCGTCATGAAACCCACTATCATCTGAGGTTGTACTGCTGCGCTCTACTTGGCCTTGACCTGTGCCAGGTGTCTCCTTTTGCCAGCCTCCAAACCCAAATAGCGCTGCATGCTTGCGGCTCGCTACTTCTTGCCCTTATAGTACCATTGCTGGGCATGAGCATGCTCTTAACGGTGATCCCCGACGAACGCTCTGAGCATACAAGTATGCATCGCGACTGGAGCTGCTGAGCTGCGTAGACGAGCCCTGCCGATGCACTTGCTTGAAACGGACTCCAAAAGTTCTGCCTTCAGCGTGACGTCTTCCGTGGAATCTTGCATCAATGCAGAGGCAGGCCATCCATGTAAAGAGCGAAGGCACTTCAGATTTGTGCAGCTGATGCTGTGTCTCCAAGCATAGGCCACAAGCCAGGGATGATTGGGGTTCTGTGCAGGTACAGAGTGTTTGCCAGCTCATGTTTCAACACAGTCCGAGAGAGACCAAGCACTTCGAGGCTGCTAACCCACGTTCCAAATCGACAACACCCGTTGAACATGGACACGCTTGAAGCAGTTGTGACAATGGCTGCATTCCGCGATCGAACTCATGTGTATCTGTGCTCTCACACAGGCATGGCCCGAGAAGCAGACTCCAGGCACAAAAGAAACATCGACACGCAAATGGCCGCATGCGTTGACTCAGTGGAGTCCGCCGCTACAGTAGATGCTCAGGAATGCGGGCACAGCCTTCTTCAGATTTCGACTACAGCGAATGACCAAACGGAACGCAACATTGCTGGTGACCCTGCGCTTGAGATCAGTTTTGCTCACTCTTCGGATGTCTCTGACTCTGATGTCTCCAACGAAAACTGCTCTTCAGGCTTGCCGTCTTCTCGCGGGTCTGCCTGAGCAGTGAGTGGAACCAATCTGGTGCCATGCAGGGGAGCCCTGGAACTCGTGACTCTTTGGCTTCTGTCGGCTCTTTCCATACATGTGGTCGCGCGGCAACTCGAGTAGATTCTCGCCTTCCAATGTATGTATGCGGAAGACACTACTGCTGATTCGAAGACCTTTGCCGCCCTTGATCACTCCCGACAGCCAGGCTTGAGCCAAGGAGCACATGGTCTGCAGTACGGATTCGTCCGAACATGGGCCATACCTGAGCAGCAAATATTTTTACTCGTCAAGCACCACTGTGTACACAGTGTACACATGTGTTGGGTGCTGACAGATAAGGCTATAAGACTTTGTGTCGCATCTGCCAAATATCGGCGAAGGGCATTGCAAGCATGTGACAGCTTTCCCACGTCGCGCCGTCGCTGGTGAGTTGACACTCACAAATTTCGAGCAAACGAAGCACAAAACATCAGTCATGATCAACTCCGTCCAGGCACTACACCCTGCCGCAAAACGGCGCTGTGTTGCATTAGGGTTGGGAAGTTCAATTTTAGGATTACTGTTTGGAATTGCTCGAACGCCGAGTGGCAAACCCTCCCGGACTGGTGTAGCCGAACTCCAGCTACGACTGTCCTGACATCTTCAGGCTGCATGAGTGCGCACTTTGCCTTGGCCCTGCAAATGCACCATGGAGGCAAGAGGGAACCGAACGTTACCCACCTCCACACAACATGGAGCGAGAATGCACAGCCGGGTCACAAACATGTGACGACGCCCGCCAATGACATGAGACCTGCAGGGCGAAGGCAACGACGACAGAAGCTCAGCGAATAACAGTCGTGTCATTGACTATGGTAAGATCACGTGGGGCTTGCGTCACCCAAAGTTGACATTGCAATGGCATCCCAAATTCTTCATGATGGGAGAATCGTCTGTAGTTCATTGTGGAAAACCTATTCTGTCGCAGTGTGTTTACGCCACAGACCTGCCTTTATCGACTTCGTCGAATCATTGCCCCTTCGTGCAGAGCTCGTGCGCGCAGAAACAATACGTAGAAGCGTAGAAGCTTGGATGGCGAGCTACGTTGGCCAATCTTCGCCTGCTTCTGCTGTCTACGGGCTCCCATGCTGAAGAAAAGGAGCCCGCTTCTGTGTTCATCAACTTCTAGCTCAAGCAGTGAATGCTTAGATTCTGCAGGTTATTTAGCGTCGAACTGCACACCGGTAAGACGGCCTCCTGGCCCATACCGCGACCACTTCAACAGTGCACTGCAGAGCACCTGCGAGCAGCTACCGGTAGCATGGAGTGTGCACTACTGAGCTACTGTTGCAGGTAAATGCTTCGAACTTCAACCTCGAGAATGTGGAAACACATTGTGGAAAGCAAAGCTTGCGATGCTTAGGTGCTGTGAGCTGCAGAGTTTTGTGGCGAGCGATTTGATCCAAGGGACAGGGCCAAAGCCACCGACGAGACAAATGCCGATGTTGTAACCTCACCCGCAGGTTTCCAGATTCGATGCCGGTTGGCCGGAGTGAAGCTCGAGAATCATCTGAGTACTGATGTGCGTTTACTCTACTCTACACCGCTGCGCGCCTATGGATGGCTGAGGGCTCGGACTGAAACCCGCCCACTGTTCGGCAGCGAGTGGCTGACACCAACTCCCAGGTTGCGGGTGCGGGTTGGGAACAGCTCGGTCACGTACCTCGGTCCGCCACTGGACAGCTATGGCTTCATGCCGTGCTCGATTTGCTACAGCACACACACAAGCGTTGACACATTGAATGGCTTGAGAGGAGCAGGCACTTGCAGGTGCCCTCTGTGTGTGTGTGTGCACCTGTCATCTATTTTACCTCCTGGCTCAGTCCGGCGGTGCTCTCTCAGACCCTATCCTACTTGCCAGGAAGATTTAGACGAGGAGTCCAAAGAGCCGTCCAAAGCTGAGAACTTCTGCTGGCAAGCTGCATGTTGAAAGTCGAACCGCCTAGCGCACCAATAGTCCCGAAGCCTTTGGAGGTGAGATACGCGGAAGGTTGGATGGACAAGTCGCAGCATGGAACATTGAATGCAAATGCAAGATAAACAAATGCTTGGACTCATTGATGGCCAACTCATTTCTCGGCAGCTTGGCTCGTAGCAGCAAATTGTGAAAACATGCTGGCAAGGATGCACACATCATCTGTGAATTGACAGCTGAATCCCTTTCAATTGCGCGAACCTCCATACCCAACACGGATCCAAGAGGCCAACAGCATATGCTGCATATGCAACCTCGGCTGATGGCTTCTCCCGTACTGTGGCGAAGGGATTGATCGTAAGCAGACCGACGACGGGAACTAAACAACCTGGGGATCCGAAGACCCCGATCCCTCCGTCATGTCAGGCAGAAGGCCGAGGTATTCGTTGGATCTGCCTCACGAGGCATGGTCCACTAGAACAACAACTTTCGACATTTTCGGCACAAAGGCGAGATATTAGTCTGACGGCTTAGATACCCGGCCTGCAACCACGCAAACAGCGGGAAGGCTGCAAACAGCTGCACTGCTGCTGCAAAGAAGGTAACTGAGCCGACGCCTTTGCTTTGGGATTCTGGTGCCAAATAACCGGTTGATGCCCTTGCCATACAATGCGAAGTAAGCAGCCCCAAACGTCTGCTAGCCAGCCCACAGGCACTGCCAGCACTATCTGAATAACGCGGGCTGTCAGGCCCGCCATCATGCGCTGATCTTTTGGAAGTCCTGCAAGTGTCATTTTGCATAAGGTGTGCACCTTCACATCAACACATACCGACTGCGCAGCTGCCGCATTTCCCTGTGAATTCCAACAAGAACGTCGTGTCCTTCTTTTGCCAAGAATGTGTTGGTCCACACCAGGCCGCTGTATGAAAATACCTGCAAAGTAAGGCAAAGTGAGGTATATTTCAGAGTTAGTTCAGCCATGTATTGAAAAACCATATCTTCTGCTTGTCAACCCTGAACTCTCCTGCGGCGCGCACGATGGAACATGAATCTGCAATCCCACGTTGTCCGAGCTGCTGCAAAAGACACCATACCGCCGATGGCTATGACGATTGCATAGCCTAGCAGGTCGTCAACGCACACTGCTGCTCGCTAGGAAGAGGCTGCGGTACCGGGGCGAACCCCACTCATGTAGCGGAACTCTCAACCACGATGAATTCCAATGGTGAAAGCACTGTCAGGTAACCCAACGTTGTGACCACATGCTCCAATCGGAGAGCCATCAGTTGCGTGACAATGGGATCACGAGGCATTGCCGAAGAATCCATTCCAGCAGGCACTGCTTCAACTCCAAGCCCCAATTCCCCGTCGCTCTCTGCCCAAACAGCAGGAAGGGACCCTGGAATGCCCTGATCTCTAAACTCCATGGCCTCTGTGCAGTACATCCCTGATGGCATAGCTGGCTGATGCGTGGCCTGCTCTGACGGCAACTCAAAGCGCTTCAAAACTCAGCTTTCGAAATTTCTGCGACGGAAAGGGAGAAAACAAGCTGGGAAGACCTTCCTCAATGGCGACTCTTCGGTCCCTTTCAAACTCCTCCGATTCGTGCAAGCACCGCCGTCCTTGAGCGGTACACGGTACACGAACTCTCGCCTCCAGGAAACCGCGTAGCTGCCTTACCACGCCGCGAAAATCGGGAATTTGGCCCGGGATGTCCTGCTATGGTGAAAGCTCCTGGCACAATGGCGACGAGGAAGGGAAGCCGCCAGCCCCATTGTCGCATTGCATCGGGGCCGAGCTGGTCCTCTCGTTAGATGCTTGGCACGTGAGTGAATTCATCATGGCATGTCTTGTCACATTTCTGGTGTAGATGGGCAGTGCTAATAGGTTTGTGCTTGCACTCGGTTCGAAGGCATGCAGCAAGCATGTCCTGCACTAGCCACACTGCGCCTTGCGCCAGAAGGAAGCCGATGTAGATTGACACGGAGATGAGCGACATGCTCCGGGCCAGAGTCTGCTTGGAACCCACCTGTGCAATTCGCATTGAGCTTTCTTGGCTCGGCCTTGGCCTTCAGAAACCTGCCTCGATGATGTACGTGGAGACAGTGCTGATCTCGCGGAAACCAGGGGTAAGGAGCGTGAATTCGGCGCGAGCTACAATATCTTGTCAGATTGGTTGTGCAAGTCTCGACTGTGGTACCTTCTTGACTGTTCCCGATTGCAAAACACCGTGCCTCTCCGCCCGTGCACAGCCCCTGCACGATCCGCAAGACAAAGAGCATGCAGGTTCCGAACTCGCCCCACGCCTGGCACCATCACATCCCGTCGTTCAGCGAGTCGCCAAAATGCTTGCGAAGTGGCAGGTCTGATGCCAGATAACCCAGTCGGAGAATTGAGGGGGTCTTGAAGCACAGCCCTCCAAGCAATCAAACTCAAATTGTACACAATGTCACGTGCTTCGCCTGGCCACTGCTGAGACGGCTGGGCAACAGGCCCTGACCAACTGTGCCGACCTGCTCGAGGAAACACCCAGATTCGCAAGCACATGAGAAAATTATGGAGAGCAGCCAGTGCCGTCATGCTCAATCCGCACTGTTTGCTTGCGCTTGCGATTGAGGATCGATCATAACTTGGGCCCCCGCGACCATGCCCACAATGGAAACCGTGAGAGATGTGCGTCGACCACACATGTCACCGATCTCAGAAGGCATCTCTGCTCCCCGTGCCAAGCTACACATGAAACATCGCATCAAGCTAGCTACAGACTCTATACTGCAGAACGTGCATGGACTTGTAGTCGATTACAAGAAGCATTGAACTGCTGAGCACTGAGGCCCAAGCAAGGCCCAGAACAAGGCCACCCAGTGGGCGTGCAACAAACGTCGCAGCATAGCCTAGGTGGAACCATGGCTGCACACGCCTGTGCAATAAATCTGGCTCCAGTGACGGTACACACTATAGGTGGCTTTCAGATGGCCGGTGCTAACAGCGCAACAGAAACCAACAGCCACTTGCCGAGAGACCGAGCCACGTGGCAACCTCGGAACCTTGGAAGAAATTGTCCTCCAGGAAAAGCACCTGAGAACACCAGGTAGTACCCCGGAAGTTTGATGTTGCGCATGTGAGATCACGTGGGGTGACCACCTTTTCGCACTTGGTTGCTTTACTGCAGCTTCAAAGTGAAGACCGACCTCCACCAATCTTCGCGCCGGGGTGCCAAATAACCGTACACAGCAAACTCATACCATTCCAGTACATTGCCCAGGAAAAGTGACCTCACAGGGAGCACCATCATACTGCACAGATCTGTTTGCTGAGGTGCACGATGGCAAAGCTGAAACACGGCGAGAGTCCAGTATCGCCGAAGCAGGTAGGCAAAGTCACCGCGAAGTCCCATCGCATCCAAAGCTTGGCCCGCCGGAGCGTGAAGTCAGATCTTTGCCGACTCGTTTCTGCTAGTTTCTGGTAGCTGAGTGGTAGTTGGCAAGCAGCTGGAGTTCGTACGGTATGAGGCGATGTCGCCTCGAGTGAAGGCTGGTTCTGACTTGGGGGCGGCGCTGCGATGCCTGGAGATGGCCAAGCCCTGTCTTTTCCAGGACTCGGGCCGCGGATGGCCGCGGTGTGCAGCACTCAAGAGTTGCCCAGACATGCAAGCGAATGTGGCGAACTCCGAACACCTCCCAAAGCAGCAATGTGTTTGGCAAGGTCAACCACTGTCTGTGCAAGGCCTTTAGGATTGGCTGTAAGCAAGACTTCTTTCGCGTGCAGAGCCTTCGCGGATCTGAAGCCTGTCTGTTCCATAGAGGTGAACAATTGATGCGAAGCTAACGCAAGCTTCAACCGCTTCAATCTGACAGCTTCATGTCGGCCATGAGTCTTGCTCACTGGCGTCACTTAGTGCAGTAGGGACCAAACTGTACATTGGAAGCTGCACTACCGGAAGCTGCCGCAGTGGCTCTCACAGACAGGTCAAGGCAACAAGTGGACAGTGTTGTTACATATATTCGAGTAGAGCTTCAGCCTTCCGAGCTACACTTGCTGTCTGGAATCCATGGAAAATGTTACTCCATGGTTTCGGTCTTCCTGTCTGCCACGGCTATCTAGTGGTGCACGGCCTAGCGTCTCACTAGACTTTGAATGGTGACACGGACCTCGGCTTTGGGATCTCACTCTTACAGGAACTGCCGACACACAATGCAGTCTTACAGTACCAAGGCCGCCAGGAGACAGTTTGACCAGTGCTTCTCGCGGTTGCATGACATTGCTGCACTGCCTCTCTTGCTGCAAGAAGAGCAGCCTGGCTGGCCTCGTCAAAGTCAATGCTGCAAGCCGGTTTAGCAGTTTGGCACTTCGGAGTCTTCGGAGTTCTAAATGGTCAAGAATCACATGAATCGTGTGTTTCGTGCTCCTCTTCATTTGCTTTCAGTAACCCTGTTCGGCATGCGTCTCCAAATGCGTCAGGCCGACCTGGCCGACTGGGCAAACGACATAGGCATATACCACATGGCCGCTTACCTGAGAATTTGGACAACGCGACTACATTTTCCCCAAGCCCTCGAATAGCTTCCTATGCCACAAGGACAACAAAATTGGTGTGCCTGTTTAATGCGTTCAGTGTTCATACCTATCCCCTTGGAAGCTAGGTCGCCTGGGCAATTGCCAGCACTGCCTGACCAACGGATTGGGCGGCGGCAGCCAGTGCTTGGCCACATGGACGTAGTACGGTAGAGTAGGTGCCTTCGGCCACGGCAATAATGGCATTCCTGCAGTGGTGGAAGGGATCTTATGCTTGATCCAGTTCTCTTTCTCTCTGAAAGGACAAACTCCACAGACATCAAGAACAGCCAATTTGGAGATCAATCCAAGCTTCGCACAGGGACGGATCACAGTGGAGTATCCAACCTGCGCGAATTGGACAAGTGCGGCAGCTACTGCACCGGATGCGTACCAAAGAGCTGTGCCAGTAGCCCGTATGCCATGGCCGACCGGTACCAATACGTAGGCATAGCCAACTTGTGCAAGTTGACCAACTGCGTATACAGCCATGCCAGCTCCATGCCAGAGAGCTCCCGCAACAGCGCGCGCGGCCAAGGCGGCAGGTGCCAAGACATAGGCAGAGATGCCGCTTCCCAGAGGCTGAAGAACATATCCATACAAAGCTTCTGCGCTGGACCCCAGACAATGACCGAAAGCTTTCAGTGCAGATGCAAGAGCACTCGCCACGGGGACCAGCATGTGCTCATAGGTGCCATGTGCAGCGGCTCCCAGTCCGTGGCATAATGCCTTCAGGCCAGCCCAAGCGGCTTGCCCTGTGGGCAGTAAGATATATGCATACAGACCTTCAGCGCAAACGGTCAGCACTCCACCCAGCTGTTCTGCGATGGCAGCCAGGGCACGCCCAGAAGGTGCCAAAACATAGGTGTAAGCTGCCTGAGCAGCTGCCTGAATCGCGTTCCAGGCTGCCTGAGCACTGGGTAGAAGGACGTTCTCGTATGCAGCTTCTGCGAACCAGCAAGTGGCATTCCAAGCCGGCACCATCAGGCTTCGATAAGTCCACTGGGCCACGTCCACCAAACGCTGTCCCAGCCACTTCAAGCCTGAGCCTAGAGGGCACAGCACCATGTCATATAGAGACTTGAGGAAGGCCATGAACCCATCTCCGAATGCACTTCCTGTGCCAGAAAGAAACTCCCAGACAGTTGCCGCCATTGAAGCCGCAGGCCTTAGGACATAGACATGCGTTAGGCAGGCAGCTCTCACGAGCCCTTGGAGCGTCAGCCGTGTAAGCGGACGCAGCACTCCGGCGTAAATCCCATAGGGGAGGAAGAATACCACACCAGCGACTGGTGCTGCCACAAGGAGTACTGCCGACTTTGTTACAAGTTTGAGAGGGCTTGAAAAGTCCTCCTGTGAGAAAATGCGGTTCTGGAGTGTTGAATCGGCCATGTCCTCACTCTCGAAGTGCGCGACAGTGGTTGCGAGCCAGGGCAAGTACCCGACCACAGTGGCGCCGGTGAGCAATGCTGGTGCTACTGCAGGTGCCAGCGGAGGGGCGATCACAAAGCAAGCTGCAGCTCCAGATGCGAGCAAGGCACCGGTGACCATAAGAGGCCGAATGTGATTGTACATGCCTTCATAGGCCTGCAGCTGTGAAAGCTCCATGCGAGCCTCAGCCGCTAAAACTAGCTCCACATAGTCGTCCATGAAGCGACCACGCGCATGGTTCTGGATACGCCTCCTGTCAGCATTTGCTGTCTCTTGCGCATACTGCCTACATGGGTGGCACTCACAGAAACAATCAAAGAATCAAAACGGTGTTCAAGGTGTTTTTGCTTGCTCTCCGGCAAATTGGACACTCGCTGGGTCTGCGCTGCATGATGATCTCCAGGCATTCTTCGCAAAGCACGGCATGGCGGCAGGGCATGAGCAGCACGTTGCGCGGCTGCGTCAGACATATCACGCATAAGCGTTCTTCGTCCAGAGCTGGATCGCTGGAATTCACCAATCTCCTACGAATCCAGACTGCAGCAGATGCCGGGCTTGGAAACATCTTCTGCAGCCTCTGCGTGGAGGACGCCACTCGGAGCAGGACCTTCCGTGCCCGCGGCTGCTCATCCAACTCCTTCGCCGCCTGCTCGGGGCTTCGAAGGGAGCTCCATCTCCAGGGGTTGTGACGGGCCAACTGGCTGTAGAGGTCGCCGTGCATAAACTGCAGCTTTGAAGTCTCATCATGCGTGAGGCAATCTCCAAGATCATGGAGCCTTCTGGAAGTTTCAGCGGCTTCAGCTCCTGCATGCGGAGACTCGTTCGGGCCACTCTCGGGTACAAAGTCTTCTGCCACAGACGGCTGGCTGCAAGCGCCAAACCTGCCGAGTTTGCAAACTACCGGAGACGTTCAGTAAGACAGCACAGTGACAACAAGCTAAAAGGACAGGTCCAAGAAACAGGACGCTCCCCAAGCTGGAGGATCTTGCCGGTTGCTGCTCCTCTTGACCGGAACGAATCTCCTGGGAAAAGGCTTCCTGTAGCCACGTGCAGGCTGCCGCAACCTTAGTTTCGGCAAGTACTGCATCGCACATGAAGCTTCCTGTGGGCACATGGCTCGCGGCTTTGCAGGACAAAACGAGGCCCTATGCATATACCTAGACCACTCCCTCAGCTGAGGGTTGTGTCAGAGGAGAGAGCTCGTGACGAAACCACCTTGAGATCGAAAAGGCTGAAGGACCTGTCCATCTAACACGCAGTATTCGCCCTAAGCGCGACGTTTGTTGCGAGAGAAATGGCAAGCAGCAGAGCTGCATTGAATCAAGAGGTCGTCCTCCCCATGTTTGATGTACAGCTGCAGGCTTTGCGATGAAATGACATGCCCCAAGTGCTTCACAATGCCTGCAGCCGTGTACTGCTGGCTCCACCACCACGTGCTCGAAGGAACAAGCGACTGACTGGTCGGGTCGGCATCGACCCAGGCGTACTGAAACGTTGTCGGTCCTTCGGTCATGAAAGTGGGGAGAGTTCCTTTCAAAGCAATTTGGAGAGGCTACCGCAGGCTCAAGCACTTGGGCCAAACGTTCGCTGCACCGGAGGGATGGTGCTTTGAAGCATGGGGATCTGTCGTGAGTAGCCGACGCCCGTAAGGTGAAATGCGAGAGGTGTCTGGGCTGCCGGAAACCCTAAACCGGCATACGAAGAACTCCGTCTTGCCATGGCTAGCTTGGGTGGGGGGGGGTTTGCAACCGGGCAACTGCAAGACTCAGAGTTCACCAACCTCAGAAGCTACCGATGCGAAGCATGCACTATCTGTTTCAGAGAGATCGGGCAACGAGGGTGGCAGCCAAAAACACGCGCAGTTTGTGCTTTGCCTCAAGAATGCTGACGGCTGCAATGCACAATTCAGCCCTTGAAGCCCGTTTTCCACGCAGCACCCCGGACTTGTGCGCAATATACCTTGCGACCTTGCGCCGATGCAGAGCCAACGCCGCACGTGACGGGCATTGTCTCGATGGGAATTATGAATTTCTTGTGAGAGGTACATTGCACGAGCTGTCTTTCTGACGTCATAAATTGAGGGGCTGGGATTTCGAAGGCACATGCCAATCCATGTTGATGGAGATTCCGGTCTGGTTTTCCTGTAGAGGTACCAATCACTGTCGTTGTGTCGCCTTGCTGCAGCGGAGTGGTGTGTGTGCAAAGTTCCCAGTCGGGAACAAAAGCCACAACCAGCAACTGCAGCTCAAAACAGTTCGATGCTATCGGCAGCATTTTTGGGCGCTGCGATGCAGCCTTAGTTATGCAGCTGCCATCATGCCAACGTCAACGCGTCTGGCTGTGGGAATCCAAAGAGTCACTGACTCCTTGCTTGGCTGCGTGGCCCTCGTGGTGCGCAAGCTTCGTTTGGTCTGGTAACTTGTCCGCGCCGGCAAATCAAAACATTGCCGCTGAGTCACGGCCATGTAGTTCCCAGCTCTGTCAGCGATCACGCTCCTGCCCCAACAGTTTCGTTGTATGCTACTTACACACTGCAGTACCAACTAGTAAAGCTAGTGCTTTCTAACGGCTAAACTCCGAATTTCGAACTGCATGTCGGCGGCGTCCGGTCGAGTCCTCCATAACTTGGCGTGCGTCCTGCTGCCAGCGGCTTCTCTCCGGCAACCATGCCCACCTTCTCCTACAGCAAACCAAGGCTGGAGCACCATCCAAGGCGGCACACTACGACCGCCTCGAGGTTCGCCTTCGGATCCAAGGCCTCTTCCGGACCTGGGTGCAGCTAGACTGTCCTGCTCTAGGCCCAGCGACCTGGTACGCATCTAGCCATTCTGTGCGTGCATTGGCGATGCCGTCACCCCAAGATCAAGGCTCGAACAGAATCGGACGTTTTTTCTGCCTGTTCGGTGAATGACAGAGTGAATTCTCGGACATGCCCATGCCACTCGAATGGATCGGATGGACTGACTGTCGCCTGCAGTGATGCCACCGATAGCTTCAGCCACGTCTGACGCCTGGCCGCTATGCACCATCCTAGTCTCAAAATCAGTCAGCAGTCTCACCATGTGTACGAAGGCATAAGAAGGTGGGGAGAAGCGCGATACTTTGGGCATTGTGCTGCCCGGATGTGAGCGGCCGTTGTACAGCATTCCACAATCATTCCGAGTACGTTTTTGCCTTATCAACTTCTATCATCATTGCATATACTCACATATAATGTACATATACTTGAGCAGACTTGCTCAGGTAAGTGATGGGGTAAACCACGTGGCCGGCCAGACAAGAGAAGAGCCCACTTATGTCGGGCCGGGCCAACAAGAGATTCATGAAATTCTGCGCCAAGTCATGTGCCCGTCGCTGAATGGCCAGCACATGGCGGCATAGCTGCACCCGGCCTGCTCGTTCGTCATGGGGAGTGAGATGCCTGACCTTCAGACATGAACTGCCGATCGCGTCGCAGTCTGCATGGGGACTCTGCTGCCGAACTGAGGCCCTGGGCAAGGGCACAATAGGTGTTGATGAAGATGATGGTGCAGAGGATGCCGCCGAGCGGGTGCTGACGAGGCAACTCTCTTTATGTGGCGGCTGCAGCTTAGCATCCGAAGCTGCACTCACATTCCGGCATGGTTCAGCATCAACACCCCGTCACCACCTTGAAGCCCACCTGAACCCGAACTGCAGTTGCAACCGTACATCCTCATCCTGCCAGTAAGAAATTTACAAGACACAGCTCTGTTCTTGAAGCAATGGACTCGGTGGATGCCCGCACACATGACGTTATGTCTTGAAAATGACTTTTCTTCTCCTTTCCGATTGGTTTTCTTCGGATCTTGAGGGTGGCCTCACCGTGCGCGTAGCCAGACTGGTGACATCCTTCCCGGGCTTGGAAACCTGTGCATCACGCGTCGTTTGCTTTGTCGTTGCCACTTCTTGTCTGCGGGATCATCTTCGCATCGGGGGAAGCATCTGCAACCCTTGATGGAACTAGCCATTTTGAACACCTGGGAAGCTGCTTCAAGCCAGGAAGGAGGCCCGAATCATCGTGACTATCGTGAGAGCAGACAGAGCCCGTCATCTGTGTACGGGCGGTCTCCGATGGCCATATCCACATGGAGATCCAGCATGCCTGCCAGTTGAACGGGGCCAGTGGTGCGCGCTTCACCTCCCATCACTGCGCAAGCCATTCAGAATGACACTGAGCAGCACTCGCAGAGAACGGGAACTATGCACAGGCCCGTGAACCACTACTTCTTTCTCGCCTCTGTGGCCGCAGACCGCAGGGAAGAGCCCAACAGTGGCGAGGTGGTGCGGGACTGCGGCACCGCGATGTGGTGCTTGGCCTGCAAGTCAGTGGGGTCCATTTCCCTGCCAGGTCTCCCTGTCGGCTATGTCCCTTCTGGCATGCCAGGCTTTCCTCCGCCATGCCGCGTGCAATCCAAACCTGGTGCAAACGAACATCTCTTACAGCGCTCTCAAAAAACTTGTAGCCTATTGAGCATCAGCTAGCAGCTTACTGGCATCCTGAAAACGTTGCAGGCATCTTCCATGAGCGGCTCAGGGCTGGACTGGGGACATCGAGCGGCCTCGAAGGTGGTGAAAGAGCTGTGCGCGAGTCGTAACAGGCATCGACATGGGCCCCGGCCGCTTGCAGTGCTGCAGACCAGGCTGCTACCCAGAACCGTGGTGCGAGTGGATGCCTCCTGAGCCATGGAGCTTCGTGAAAGTCATCGTCCATCTGATTTTGCAGAAGGGACGGGGCTGGTGGGTGAGGCAAGCGAAATCCACCCGACGGACGGGCTGAGGAAGCGTCAAGAGAGCCGTGACACACCCGCGTGACGGAAGCGTTGCTGACCTCGGCATTAAACAGACAGCTCCACTGCGCGGTGAGCTGCTCAAAACACCCAGCTTGCTGCCGCCCGCTAGCACCCGCACTGCGCACTGTTGTTCAGTAAGGTTGGGCGGGGCAGACGTGCTACATCTCCACATGAGCACAAAAACGACTGCACGGTGACGACACCGCAACAGCCGCAACACTGCATGTCGCAACAGAGAGCTCCTGTGGCCCAGGAAGCCGGGCTAAGCTTGTGCCTAGACAAATATACTATTACCCTAATCCACCATAGTATATCATAAGATAGTATGACTATAGCAAAAGGGTAATGAACATCATATGCCATGATGGCAGATTCGGTAACCTCGGAGAGGCGGCTTCCTTCATGGAGTCTGACACAATGGTGGAATGCAGAGTTTCAACTGCAATCCTGGCAAACCTGCAGCACTCTTCGTGGAGGCATAGTGATGAAGAAACCTGCATGTCATCAAGGTCACCTTCGAGATTGCTGCAGAAATGCCCAAGATCCACTAACATTCGGGGGGCGCAATGCATCTCTAACTCATTGGCTTGATGGTCGAACCCTTGGCAATAGTGCCCCAGCCAATGAGACGCCAGTGCTTGTCAATCCTGGAGCATACACAATGGTGAACTGCCATGTGTCACAATCGCGGAGCTGACTATGCTTGCAGGCAGTGCACGAATGCAGACATGTTTTCGTGGCTCTATTGAGCAGCTCTGAGGCACTAGAGGATTCTGCAAACTACGAGCAGTTCCGACATTTGTAGCATTTTGCGGTAGCTGATGCCAGCTCGAAAGTTATGGCCAGCGCAACTGTCCTGCGGCTGAGGGCAACCTTGTCGCCCTCCTGTGTGCACACCTCGCTTTCAGGTCTGCAACTCCTTTCTTAATGTCTCAACTTTGCCAATTACAAGTAGCAGTCATTGCATGCACTATATAGTTCTGTTTTGTGAGAGAAGACGGGGCACACTCAGTTCCGAATGTGCACTGTAACTTTTGTCTACCATCTTTGTTACTTGACTTCGGCCAGCGATAGACTCAATAAATACTGTGGGCAAGCTGCAGGATGTGTCAGGGTGATTCTGGCGTAGTCATTGTCATCCTTGATGCCCAGTACCTGGCTGCTGCAGTGTTCTGGCAGCTATGGTGTGACGTTCTGACAATTTCAGTTGGCAGGCATGCAGTGGCAACTCCATTCAAACTGCGCCGGTGCACTCTTCCGCCTGCTGCGGTAGATCCAATGTTCACCTAAGAAGCAGCTGCTTCATGCTGTCTGAGATGGGCTTGCTCGGGTTGCACAGAGAAAGATCTCAAAAGGTGTCAGCGATTCACGCTCAATCCAGTCCGACTTCTCAGTCAAGCCGTGCGACCATGAGGATCTCGCCCTTTTTGAGCTTGGCCACCTTCCCAGCCTCCAGGAACTGCACACTGCTGCGATTCGCACATGGCACTTTAATTTGAGTAGTGACAAGGAGAACGACCTGGTCAGCGGTAGGCGCGCATGCGCTGTCACCAGTAGCTTTGAGCATACGGATGCCGAAAACAAGCTACGATTGTTAACACATCGATTAAAGGTATGCTTCCCTGCGGTTTGCAGTCGATTAATTCCAGTTCATGTGTGATCCTGAAGGTCTCGCTGTTTCTGTGCCTTGCCATCGCCATCCGTCTTGACTCCTAGTAGTCGTCGCAGGAGATAGAACTTGACCTCGAGACTGCAGGAGGTTTCAGGATTGAATAGCGACTGCACGCACTGGCACAAGGGATGGAGCTAGGGGTGAACAAACTGATGAACACTTGCTGCCGCGGCCTCGATCTCAATGTAGATGCCTGGGCTCCCATGTCTGCAGTCTGCACAACTTATCAGGACCCGCTAGCTAGCGGGAACAGAATCGTGCGGCCCGTGGCCTGTAGGATTTACGCTCTCCCAGCTCGGACATGCCAGGCGAGGTTCATGGTGCGAAGTCGGCAAGGGGTTTAAGGGTTTATGTACGACCGCACACATGCGGCGGTAGCTAGGATTGCTGAAATTTGCTGCGAGTATTTGCATCTGTCTTGTCGTCTATGGTCTGTAGCCCGGCGGCTTGGAAGTTTGCCTGGATGTCCGAGCACATGCCCCACAAGCTTGTCTGCACCTGGGAAGGCTGCAGCATACCAAATGTGAGGCTTGCCTGGGATTCGGTCAGATAACTTGACTCGCTGTCGCCGTCGTCTGCGCGAGAAGTCCAGGACTGTTCGCTTTCGTTGAGATCCGGAGCCCGAAACCCCATCTGCCGAACCGGGCGCGGGTCAGCTTTGGGTCGATCTTGGTGCCGACTCCAATGAGGCCTCCCGGCACTGCGAACTGGAGCGCGTTCTGCTCGGCAAGCAGGGACATAATCCCTTGGATCCAGCACATACAGGAGCCGAGAAAACGTGAAAGCTATCGCCGACGCTCACTCGTCATGACAGTCTCGCACGAAAACATAGACAGGCGGCAGACACACACCCACATTCCGCCCCGCCCCCCACCTACACAAACATGAAATTGCCAACACCGAGAGGCGCGAGCGGATCGGACGGCACTGGACGCTGTCCGAGCTTGAGTCTTTGGTGACGATGCCAGGCCTAATCTCCTTAGATGATTTGTGAAGCTTCGGCCGGGGATGTCGGTACCGATGTAGTATGAAGTAAGCAAGCTGCGATTTCATCGCCCATTTTCAAGACCTCAGATGTGACCAGGTCTGCATGCCTCTCAAAAGGAATCGTAAATGGGGCGTAGAGCTTTTTGAGGGCAAATCTCGACCGAGAAGCCCCTTTCAGGATGGAACCGCCGGCGACACCTCCCTTCAGGTTGGCCACCTCCTCACCCGGCCTGTGCACAGGGGTTTCAGGCATCCAGGCTCGTGAGCCAGGGCCCTGCGCACTGGTCACTATGTCGGGCTGTTTCCAAATGCAGTCGGCGACAGTTGACTGATGCAAACAGACTGCAGAGCCTTCCTTGTGCACCAAAAGCCTCGATACTAGTACTTTTTTCATCCGCAGAGATCTGGATTCGATGTCTGTCGGCCTGTTGACGTCGAAGGATCGGATGATAATCATAACCGGCATCGACGTAAAGTCCCGGGGTGGAATCGGCACTTGCGTGCACAAGTATTCACCTTGGCTTCGGATGAGAGCGGCCACAAGCGTCAAATCGGAGTTCGACAAGCCGGGTCAGACCCTTTCGGGACGATGCCCTGGCCCTAGCTCGAAGGCCTCTGCAAACGTCTGGGCGGTTTCGTTGCTGCGCAACTATGGAAGTCATGGGCTGTCACAAAATCAACCTTGTACACCGGCATGGCTTTGGTGCAAGTCACAAATCACGTCCAGGTTGTACTTCAAGACAGCACCTGGGCACCGACTGCATGCACAAAGAATAGGACTCGTGCGACAGGCCTCTGAAAGAAGAACTAGGCCTCTAGTCCAACCACCACAGGATCAAGCAAGGTGGCACCAAGCATCTGAAAGTCTGCCCAAGTGGCTGATGGGAATGATTGGCGAACTGTCCTGAGGTGGAGACGTGCAGAACGTCCAGGGCTCACAGAACACACTCCGACGTCGACATAGATCCTAAGCTCGTTGGCCGAGAAGCTGCTGCCGTTCCCGCCACAAACTTCTTGATCTCTTCATACCTGGATTCGGCCTCCTGCTGCTTGGTCAGCTCGACCTGGATGTAAGCTGGAAAACCACGGAGCTCAGGGAAGAGAATGGAGTTGGAAACTTGTGGACTCTTGAACTTGGGCCTTGGGCTTGTGCTTCGCACTTTAGGGTACAGCCATGGCCCCAAGCTTCCCGGGTGTGAACGGAAGCCTTTGGAGGCTACCAGAGGCTGTTTCATCGGACATTAGTGGTACGCCAAATCCTTGCACATACAACCCCTGCTGTGCAGACCCACAGTGTGCTACCCGCATCTGTGCCTTGTTCTGAAGGATGATGATGTGCTTCAGCCGCATGATTTCCTTGCGAACACATACATCCAAAAACTAAATCGTAATCTTGGTACCTGGTGCTGGCCACGGACACCTGCGACAGATTCACCCATCTCGTGACCGACAATTATCTCGCTGATTCAGTGGCACGCTGCCAAGGCATAGAACCACAAAATCTGCCAAGCGAGATGCCACTGCTGCAAGATGTTCGGAAGTCTGGGGCTGTGGGCACGTCTCGTTTCCTGCTGCAGGGATACATGCATGTGGATAAGATAGGAGTAGACTCGAACTCCACCCTAGAACGATTGAATATCAAAAAAACTGACTGCTACGACGGGAAAGGTTGCACCACCTGAAGGGAACTCGCACGTCGGCCAGTCCTGCAATAACTAGGAGCGCTGCATCCATGACGGCAGCTCCGTTAAGCATCGTGGCCATGAGAATATCCTTGGGCGAAGTTCTGCCGACCAATTTGCTAGGCATGCACATCCTATCAGGAAGCCCTCCGCGATCTTCTTAAAACTGATGCAGCGACTCGGACTCCGGTGACGTTTGCTCGCATGACTTCCCCTTGCAAATCCAAGGAACGTGTCCGGGGCAGTCCACAAATGAAACATGGCGAACCAGCCTGATCCAAACCAAGTGGAAGGCCAGTGGAGTTCAGTCAATATCATCCGCGGACATGTCGTCGCGTCGGTCTTGTCTTAAGTGCGGGAAGTGGGGGGGGGGGGGGGGGGGTGGGGGCGGGGGAGACTGCATATTGGCATTAAATTCAATTTACATACATGGCACGGTCCAGTGCTCCGTGGCATCTTCTCCATGTATGGGTGTGTCGCGCAAGCTTCTCTCGAGTGGCTCCGCCTCATGTCGTCGACGACATCTGGCGTGGAACTGCCAGCAGACCAGTAGGGATGGTCCTGCAAATCTTTGATGTTTCCTTCATTGGCACATGTCATTTCGTCCGCAGGCGAAGGCTGGATTTTAGAGGGAACCTCCGGTCAGGGGGGGGTGTCGTGTGGGAGCCCAGGTCCTGGTCACCTTCTCCAGGATCGCGCTTGTAGATCTTCGCGTTTGCGTAGCCCAACTTGATGGTAATGTTACCTTGCACAGGGCCAGGCGCGCGGCTTTCTTGTGAGCTGTCACACGAAAGAACATGCAAACGGTAACGCTCTGACATCTGAAGCAAGCTGGCAAGCTTGCAATACACAAAGTTCACAATGTCTAGTCAACAGAAATTCGAAATTCTGATCCCGAAAAGCAGACCCGAGTCACCCGAAGTCTGTGACAAGCGACGCTCTTTCTCCGCCTTGAATTTCACTGTGTGCGTGCCAGAAAGGCCTTTCACTACCTGGGCAAACGTTGAAACGAGCGCAAAAACCAAGTCACTGTGGCCTCATGCAGTCAAGCTGCAGTGGACTTTCCGTGGGCAACATGGCCGATAGTGCCAACCTTGGATCTCAAACTGTCGGCCTCTTGACTTTCGCCTTTGTTATCCAATTCCGCACGTATTCCACTCTTCATGCTGGCCTGGGGGCATTCATCGTTGCCTGTCTGCTAATGACTTCCGGAGTCAGCGGCGTCAGCTTGGTAACCTGGGATGCGCATTTGCTCATCGGCACTTTGAGCGCACGTGCAGCCAATTAGGCCCTTTCAAGGAAGGCTGAGGCATGACCGTCCGTGCCAAACATGTCTGCCTCTCACACTGCCTTCTTGCTGCCGGTTCAGAGGGGTCGGTCAACCCGAACGCGCCAGTGCACATCCCGGATTAGCCCTCTCGCTCGCGAGCTCTCGCCAGCCGTCCTCATATCATTCTTCCCCTAAAAGGCACAAGGAAGAGAAGCCGACAACTGCTTCTGGTCTGTTCGGCTCAACGGGCTTTCTTTCGCCATAGGAACCCCGGCCTGGAGACATGCCCTCTGTTGACGGGACTCGCTCATACTCTGGACTCCTTCCCTCCCTCCGCTCGCTCGCACTTTCTTCCTTCCTGGCATCAGGTGCGAGCAGTCCTCGTGCCCTGCACTGTGCGTAACCCCAACTGGCTTTCAGTGTATGTTGGATGGGCTTGGGCGCAGCAGCAGCATTGGTTCCCGGCACAGCAAACGCCAACACCACTCGCCACACTCTCTTCGTCTCTCTTCTTCTTCCGCCTCTTTTTCCTTGGAATTGGGGTCCTGGCTTGTGCCTGTCCTCTTTTTCAGCACGGCCCAGCCAAGGTACAGCGCGAGCGCCCCGGATCCGTGCGCTGGGGGGACTTCAGAGTGGAGTCACACAGTTCGACTCTCTTCTTCCCCATGGCATAGGGGGGCGTGTCAGACCCCCGGCCATTTGGCCCCCCACATTTCATGGCAGTCAAAGTATCGAAGTCTACACAAGTTACGATGATTGGCATGTTTGTCCCCCGGTACTTGACTCAGCTCAGTTACTTTGGGACACCTGTTTTGAACTTGTGTGTGCACGCCTTGGAGTTTGGCTCGCTCTCTCTCTCTCTCTCTCTCTCTCTTCTTCTTCCTTCAGGTAAAGGGAGCGTGCGAAGCTCCCCGGCCCATAGGGCCCCCCGTACCTCTTGTGTGGGGCTTTCGGGGAGACTACTGTACGTACCAGTTCGACTTCAGGGCGGGTGTCTGGTGAGTTTCCCCCGTCCCGGTGGCTTCCCCCGTACCGAAAAACAGCGAGCAGGTAGGTCAAAGTCATGCCCCGAAAATAACATCACACACCTTAGAGGATGCCACGGGTTTCGGCAGTGTTTAGTTCCAGACTCCCCCTGATCGATGTTTGTAACCACAGCAGGGTATGTTTGTCAAAGCAAGGTCAAAGGCCATGGTGAACAAGTTGACAATGAATGAGAGGCAACTTCCCCCTGCTATGGCTACTGCAAGGCATGCTTCGGACACCATTCAGGTTTGCGGCAAAGGTGGGTTCCCCTTTCTTGGTTTGAGCAAGCGAACGAGTACAACGATACACACAACATCAAGACAACTAAGTAGCAGCAGTGGACAACTTTGCTCTGGGTTCCCCACCTTTTCAAAGAAAGTTTCACACGGCTGAGGCCCGGGCCAGGAGGAGACAGTCTGCAGTGCACTATAGGCCAGTATTACCAAGCTGAAAACAGTACTGCACAGGTCCCCTCCACCTTGCGAAACAGCGAGGTTTTCTACTGATCGGAGCTCCGTTCCAGGAAGACAGACAGGTGTGCACACGGAGGCTAGCTACACAACTTCTCAAAAGGGGTACGACGAAGACCAACGGTTTTCAAGGCTCCGAAATAGTCCCCGGCTTTCGCTCTACACTGTGTAAACTACAGCTTCGCTGAGGCCCAGGCGCTTATAGGCAGCACAGAACTAAACTAACAAGTCAACTTGAACAACAGTTCCCCTGGGCTGCAGCTTTCTTTCCGACACTGTGTTTCGGTACTATCCCAGGGGTCTGCACTCTGCGGGGCATCAGGTTTGAGACGTAGGCAACAAGTCACACGAGTCACACTATTGCAACAAAAACCAGGTTCCAGAGGCAAATCCCCCGGGCTGTGTATGCATCTCCCCCTCACTATGCACCTGGGTGGCGTTGTGCGATCTCACTCCCCCGCGTGTGCAGCATGAAAGCGGCGGCGTCGGTGGCTTGCCGAGGAGGATCTGTGCGAGGAGCTGGATCGCGGCCTTCTCGCACTGGGTCCCCGCGGTGAGGTTGCAAGCGAAGAGCGGCTCGCGTCCCCCAGGCCATGGTGGCGCTCGTTCTCCCACCAGTGCGTGTCCCACAATGCGCTTCTTGTGGGTAGTCCTCTGTCCTCAGGGGCGGTTCGGCGTGCGGTTCCCCGAACCAGCCGCATAGCCAGGTCCTGGAACATTTGCAATGCGTCCACCGGCCACGTCTCAGCTTGTCGGAGTAGTCCCCGCAGTGTGTCCAGGTCATCTGACCATGTTGCTCCCTGTCCCCCGGCGCTGGAAGAGTTCACCTGTTCGGCTGACATCTGAGCTCTGTCTCCGCTGGACTGGGCACATTCCCCGCTGAGTTGTATCGCGCAGGGAGATATCACCCTCTCCAGCGCTTCCGTGACAGAAATCAAGCTATTCCACGCCGGGCTCGTCACGGTCCCCTCCAGGATCATGTTGAGTACTTCCCGAAGTGGCGTGAGAAGGGGAGGCAACTGGGCGTGTATGCGAACATCCCCCGCTGCCATAGTGTTCAGCCATGCGACCACGACCCCCACGTGTGGTGCAACATGGGCATAGGATAGGTCAACGTTGGGGTTGTCGCGGGACGCCATGGCAATGCTGCGCAAGTGTCGGAGCCCTTGCACTGCCGCTGCTGCTGTTACGGCGATGTCTTGCATCTGCTGTTCCCCCCCTAGGGGGGGGGATTCTGCGCTCAGTTCCTCGGCTGTCTGCGTGTCGACGAGTAGGTTCAGCAGGGCGTGTTCCGCCTGCGCTTGAATTCCCCTGCTATCGGGGACATCACCCTCTCTTGCCAGTCTGCAGATTTCGACGAGGCTCTGTTCCACCCGCTGCCATGAACGAATGCGTTCCGTTCCTGTTTGGCTGTTAGTGGATCGCGGTTCCACTGCTGTTGTGGCTGTGCTGGCTGCGGGATGTGTGAGAGTTGTGTCGGCGTTGTCGATGGTGCTGGGTACGGGTTCCCGTGGCGTCCGGGTGCTCGGCTTGTTCGGAGCAGGTCGTGCTGGTAGTGGTAGTGGACGTGGTTGTGGTGGTGGGCGGCTCTCCCCAATCGTCATGGAGTGGAGGGACCGGGCGCTGCTGCTGCTGTCTGTTGCTGCTGTCGCTGCTGTCACCGGTTTTGGGTATCTGTCTGCCGTCTCGCAGCATCTGTGCGAGGGGGGTAGCCGCGGGGGGTCGGTCAGGTGTGGCAGCGGTTGCTGGCTGTAGTCGTTGGGTCTGGCTTCGCCGTAGTGTTCTACCATCGCTGAGCCCTGCCATCATGTCTGTTCCCCCACTGGTCCCATGGTGTCTGCCGGCGTCTGTCCCGGGGGCCGCAGACGTCGGCTGCCGCTCTCTCTCTCTCTCTCTCCCTCTCTCTAAAACAATAACAATAATATATATATATATATAATATACATATATAATATATATATATTATAATACTAACAT